ATACATCCGAGTGCTCTTGAAACGTACATCCCAGTGCTCTTGAAACATACATCCCAGTGCTCTTGAAATGTATATCCCAGTTCTCTTGAAACATATATCCCAGTGCTCTTGAAACTTATATCCCAGTGCTCTTGAAACGTATATCCCAGTGCTCTTGAAACGAATATCCCAGTGCTCGTGAAACATATATCCCAGTGCTCTTGAAATGTAGATTCCAATGCTCTTGAAACATACATCCCAGTCCTCTTGAAACGTACATCCAAGTGCTCTTGAAATGTATATCCCAGTGCTCTTGAAACATATATCCCAGTGCTCTTGAAACGTACATCCCAGTGCTCTTGAAATGTATATCCCAGTGCTCTTGAAATATACATCCCAGTGCTCTTGAAACGTACATCCCAGTGCTCTTGAAACATACATCCCAGTGCACTTGAAATGTATATCCAAGTGCTCTTGAAACATATATCCCAGTGCTCTTGAAACATATATCCCAGTGCTCTTGAAACATACATCCGAGTGCTCTTGAAACGTACATCCCAGTGCTCTTGAAACATATATCCCAGTGCTCTTGAAACGTATGTCCCAGTGCTCTTGAAATGTATATCCCAGTGCTCTTGAAACATATATCCCAGTGCTCTTGAAACGCATGTCCCAGTGCTCTTGAAACGTATATCCCAGTGCTCTTGAAACGTACATCCCAGTGCTCTTGAAGCGTATATCCCAGTGCTCTTGAAACGTACATCCTAGTGCTCTTGAAGCGTATATCCCAGTGCTCTTGAAACGTACATCCCAGTGCTCTTGAAACGTACATCCCAGTGCTCTTGAAATGTATATCCCAGTGCTCTTGAAACATATATCCCAGTGCTCTTGAAACGTATGTCCCAGTGCTCTTGAAAGATATATCCCAGTGCTCTTGAAACGTACATCCCAGTGCACTTGAAACGTACATCCCAGTGCTTTTGAAACGTATATCCCCGTGCACTTGAAACGTACATCCCAGTGCTCTTGAAACGTATATCCCAGTGCTCTTGAAACGTATATCCCCGTGCTCTTGAAACGTATATCTCAGTGCTCTTGAAACGTATATCCCAGTGCTCTTGAAACCTACATCCCAGTGCTCTTGAAACCTACATCCCAGTGCTCTTGAAACCTACATCCCAGTGCTCTTGAAACCTACATCCCAGTGCTCTTGAAACGTATATACCAGTGCTCTTGAAACCTACATCCCAGTGCTCTTGAAACGTATATCCCAGTGCTCTTGAAACCTACATCCCAGTGCTCTTGAAACCTACATCCCAGTGCACGGTGACAAACTAGTTCTGCTCAGCCTTAATGACCCTCGTATAGATGGAAAACTTGAAACACAATTAATCATCCAACTATAAGCTCTTCAAACACTTGTCACATATAAGTTTGGTATATAATATTTTACAAAGTGGGTCTGTGTGTCAGAGAAAAGTGTCAGGCATATGAACAAAAGATGCACTTACTGAGTCATCATATGACTAAGACCTGACATAGGAAAGATTTTCTCTATTGCTAGACGAATGAAAGACTTCCATAAGAGGTGTACATATTAAAATTTACAGCACAGAAAAAAATACAGTAGATATTTTACGTTACATATTGGTATCCTTATATTAAAATCAATGTGATTTGAAATGACTGTATTAATACAGCTGTAGTCGGAGATTTTCTTTAAAAACCTGCTCATAAATGAATCGGAATGTCAATCATTTGTGTCTGGCGTTTACCTGGAGAGAGTTCCGGGGGTCAACGCCCCCGCGGCCCGGTCTGTGACCAGGCCTCATGGTGGATCAGAGCCTGATCAACTAGGCTGTTACTGCTGGTTGCACGCAATCCAACGTACGAGCCACAGCCCGGCTGGTCAGGTACCTACTTTAGGTGCCCCGAGATTCAAGGGCAAGAAAAGTATGTTCTGCTTTCTGATCAGATGATACGAAATGACGTGATGGCTGATCAGTACGAGATGGCTGATCAATATGTGATGGCTGATCAGTACGTTATGGCTGATCAATACGTGATGGCTGATCAATACGTGATGGCTGATCAATATGAAATTGCTGATCAATGCGGTTTGGAGATATTTTTATGAGAGACGAAGTGAACCATAGAATTGATGAAGGCAAAAAAAAACTGGATAGTTCAGCGAGACATTCTTAGAGACAAGGAACTTTATCCATGGAGGCAAGAATGGAAGGGGCATTGTATACCTGAGTATATTGGTACCTATACTGTTGCATGAGTGTGCCGCAAGCTGGAGGCAGTGGAGATGTCGTCTTTGAGGGCAATGTGTGATGTGAATATTATGCAGAGAATTCAGAATTCGGAGATTAGTAAGAGAGGTGTGTGTCGGTTTCTCAAAATTATTATTCAGAGGGCTGAGGAGGATTTGTTGAGAGGTTTCGAGATTTAGGGAGGGTTGAGAAAATTAGGATGATGAGATCTAATAAATATTGGGTGGAGGACAGAATATGTAGAGGTCGTCCAAGGCAAGGTTGGAAGAAGGGAATAATGGAGATTTAGCGTGCTAGCTGCTTGGACACCCATCATGCTTGTGTGAGCATATTAGACACGAGTGAGACAAGTATATCACGTGTAATTACGAACGTTTAGTTGATTTTCTTTAATTTTTTAAAGTGACAATTTTACTTGTGTTAAACTTGATTTTTATATTTTATTTCATTTCCTTATAGAACATCTGATGAAGGGGTGGAGTTAATTTCGAAAATTCATTATTAATATATGCAAATAACCCGCACATAGGAGATAGAAGCTCATGACGTTTCGGTCCGACTTGAAGTGGGGGGAGTAGTAGTAGACAGAAAGAGGAAGGAATTGAGACAATAGTAGTTATAGTGGTAGTAGTAGCAGTAATGTAGTAGTTATAGTGGTAGTAGTAGTAGTAATGTAGTAGTAGTAGTAATGTAGTAGTAGTAGCAATGTAGTAGTAGTAGTAATGTAGTAGTAGTAATGTAGTAATAGTAGTTATAGTGGTAGTAGTAACAGTAATGTAGTAGTTATGGTGGTAGTAGTAACTAATGTAGTTATGGTGGTAGTAGTAACAGTAATGTAGTAGTTATGGTGGTAGTAGTAACAGTAATGTAGTAGTTATGGTGGTAGTAGTAACAGTAATGTAGTAGTTATGGTGGTAGTAGTAACAGTAATGTAGTAGTTATCGTGGTAGTAGTAACAGTAATGTAGTAGTTATGGTGGTAGTAGTAACAGTAATGTAGTAGTTATAGTGGTAGTAGTAACAGTAATGTAGTAGTTATGGTGGTAGTAGTAACAGTAATGTAGTAGTTATGGTGGTAGTAGTAACAGTAATGTAGTAGTTATAGTGGTAGTAGTAACTGTAATGTAGTAGTTATAGTGGTAGTAGTAACAGTAATGTAGTAGTTATGGTGGTAGTAGTAACAGTAATGTAGTAGTTATGGTGGTAGTAGTAACAGTAATGTAGTAGTTATGGTGGTAGTAGTAACAGTAATGTAGTAGTAGTAGTTATGGTGGTAGTAGTAGCAGTAATGTAGTAGTTATAGTGGTAGTAGTAACAGTAATATAGTAGTTATGGTGGTAGTAGTAGCAGTAATGTAGTAGTTATAGTGGTAGTAGTAACAGTAATGTAGTAGTTATGGTGATAGTAGTAACAGTAATGTAGTAGTTATAGTGGTAGTAGTAACAGTAATGTAGTAGTTATGGTGGTAGTAGTAACAGTAATGTAGTAGTTATGGTGGTAGTAGTAACAGTAATGTAGTAGTTATAGTGGTAGTAGTAACTGTAATGTAGTAGTTATAGTGGTAGTAGTAACAGTAATGTAGTAGTTATGGTGGTAGTAGTAACAGTAATGTAGTAGCTATGGTGGTAGTAGTAACAGTAATGTAGTAGTAGTAGTTATAGTGGTAGTAGTAGCAGTAATGTAGTAGTTATAGTGGTAGTAGTAGCAGTAATATAGTAGTTATGGTGGTAGTAGTAGCAGTAATGTAGTAGTTATAGTGGTAGTAGTAACAGTAATGTAGTAGTTATGGTGATAGTAGTAACAGTAATGTAGTAGTTATAGTGGTAGTAGTAACAGTAATGTAGTAGTTATGGTGGTAGTAGTAACAGTAATGTAGTAGTAGTAGTTATGGTGGTAGTAGTAGCAGTAATGTAGTAATAGTAAAAGTAGAAATGTAGGGAAGTAAATATTCTTCCCTCAGTATAAATGTTTGACTTACTTAGTGCTATGTGGCACTAAAAATATTAACCGATATTATTTTAAGGAAGTCTTTTTATGTTATGAATATTCTGTGTAATTCTTTGATCATACAATACTCTAGTTTATATTTTTAAATGCATAAGTATCTTTAAGTTAAATGACTTTTGACTTCGTTTTTAATTAGCGACATAATACGACAAAATTCTCGAAGAGTTCCTAGTCCTTAAAGCATTGATGGCGATATTCTGTGATCGACTTGGTGCTCAGTGTTCAGCCATGGGTTGTTTATGGCTAGGAAATTTTTTGGTAAGGGGTGCAATGCAGTCGCAATACAACTGCAATGTAACTGCAATATTGCATAGCTTCTGACGATGCACAAAATACGAAAGATCTAGAGCTAAAGATTTCCATCCCCACGTGGCTTGTTCTGCATTAGAAATTGGTCAGTGTAAACATATGTTCAGGAATAATGATGCTCATTCATATTTCCCAATTGTTTATGTGGTTTACAATACAGACAAGATGAAGAATTAGACAAATGTGCAACATCTGGGTATCTTTACTATCGATATTTTTCCATTTAGTGGCTTTCCATACAATTTCAAGGAGATGTCCTTGAATTCGTATTGATAAAGCCACTGAATGGTGTAACGTCTAGAGTAAAGACCCAGATGTTGCACTTGTGTTTAATACGTCATACTTCCCAGTGTCTCAAATGTACGCTCACACTAAAGCCTCAGTAAGAATCGTATAAGATAATTAAAATTAGACAATCTCTACTTACTATCGCAGCAAATACAGCTACTTCCTTTACACGAGAAGTTTCCAATTGGATTAGGACATCTTCTCATATCCCTGCACTCGCCAGGGCAACTAGACTGGTCTTCACATCTGGCCAGACGCGTCGTGCAACACTTGCAGCCAGTTCCTCCGCAGCTTCTGTGGATTTCACGCTCGAAGCTGTCACACTGTTGTTTGCAAACTCCGTGCCCATCGTCACAGAAAGGATGGGCGTTGCACTCTGATGAAATATATATGTTGCATGAGACACATCATCGTGAGTGTTGATATCTGCGTAGCTACTATCTGTTACCAAAATGTGACATAATTATGTAAATATTGCCTCACTGCTCATGACTGTACCTATTGCCCACATTTATGGATAATATATACCCATTATCTGTGTATTCACTGCCTATATATGCTTACAATTGTCTACCTACTGCCTCAAAACATGATAAAATATTAAGAGTGTAATTTTTAACTTCTAAGTGTTGTGGATCCACTGCCTGCAGGTCTGAACAACTATTTAACTACATTCTACCAGCATCATATTGGATTTTAAGGTGGAATTAAATGCTAATTAACTTTTGGGTATAATGACAATATTGCTGCAGTGCAGGTGAGCAAAATGAAAGATTGCTAATGATTTAATTCGTAGGATCAATTTACGTTGGACACAATATTCCAACGAGTTTTTTAAATTTCCATTTTGTCTTTATGTTGGAGATGAAACCTTTCCTTTCTCGCTCTTTTTTTGTAACCATCACCATATCAAAAATTCATGAAGTGAACATTGCAGTGGCGCTGGAAGATGTTATAAATTTCCTATATAAAAAGAATTATTCAAATATTAATATCAATATCTTTATGACTTCAAATAGTTGATGACATGATATTCACAAGCTAATTTAAACAATTAAAATCTCACTACAAGACCTGAAAAAGTTAAAGCAAGAAATATACACAACGACTAATATTCAGAAACTTGAAAAGTCATTAACTTAGACACAGGTGTAACACCTGGTTCAACACCTGGTGCAATACCTGGTGGAACACCTGCTGTAACACCTAGGTATCATTATTTTGTAAATCTTTTGTCAACCAGTGGTTTTATCAGTACAAAACAAGGACATAAATGGAAGAATGTAGAAAACTAGATAAACAGTCACTCAGTTTTGCCGAACTGTAAACAGAAGACAGTTAACACAAATTTGGTTAAGCAAGGTGTTTTGAATATACTAATACATGGATATTCATCGGTCTTACTGTATAACCCCAGGCCCCTGTACTTCAATGATGTGAAAAAGGTGTTCCAGTATTGCATGACTCCAGTCCCTTGAACCTCAATGAGCTAAGGAAAGTGTCTCAGTATTGTGTGATGAATGGTTTTGAAAACCGACAAGTTGAAGAATTGAGACACTTATGCAACACATGAGAATCTTTATTGAAGAAACGTTTCGCCACACAGTGGCTTCATCAGTCCAATACAAAGTATTGGACTGACGACCTACTTACACTAGTGGCAGGTCCCACTGTGATCCCGCCTCCTCCTGCTTCAACTCATCTCACCGCAGTATATAAGCCGCCTCTCTGGCCCTGTGCTGCACTTCCTACAAGAGTGATGGACTGAACACATCGATTCCAGGTTGAGGGACTGATTACCTCAAACTTCTACTCTCCTTACCCATTTCTACTTTGTATTGGACTGATGAAGCCACTGTGTGGCGAAACGTTTCTTCAATAAAGATTCCCATGTGTTGCATAAGTGTCTCAATGTCTCAGTATTGCATAACCTAAACCCCTGTACCTCAATGAGCTGAGTAAGGTGTCACAATATTGCATAACCCCAGGACCTTTTACCTCAATGAACACGAGAGGATTAACGAAGATGGCACCATAAGTTTATAATCCAGTAAAGTATCAGAGCTGAAGATTTGAAAGGAATCAGATGTATTCACAGATTATTTCATGGACACTAATATTCCAATTAGTTCAAAGATAAAAGTAACAAATTTGGACACATAAAACCCTAAATTAAGTCAAATATTCCACTAAGAATCATCACCTTTGAGGCCAAACTAAAACCAAATTCTCTAGTTATGTCAGGGAGATCAATATCCTAAGATACACCGGCACAATAAGTTTAAAGCCAAATAGAATTTGAATTATCAAGGTAACAGTGTTGACAAGCTGAGGCACATATTTCAACCATTGAGCAATCCGAGAAACATATCCATATATTCCATAACCCAAGTCTCCTGCACCTCAGTGCAAGAACAATGGAGAGTGTGGCATAAGATAATAATGTAGTTAAATATTAGTTTTGAAGATAAGGAAATCAGAAGATGCATTCACAAGTCATCATAAGAAAACTAATAATAAATTGGAACGTACACAGGCCAACGTTCATTCATATATTTTAGAGGGACCAAAGAGACCGATATCCTGAGATACAAGAGCTTTAAGCCACTTAGATGTTTGACTCTAAGGTAACCAGTAACGAAAAGTTGAAACTAATCAGACGCAACACTCAGAAATGATCGCATGGAAAGCAGAATTTCATTTTTTCCAATTTAAAAAAAAAACTTAAGCAACTTGACAAAAATAATCAAAAAGTAAGACGGTAAGACAGTACAGAAAGTAAGTACATAACATACAAACTTTCAACAACTGTCTTCATTGTACACAAATATTATAGATACTTAAAAGTCGAAGACTGTGACTTATTTCTGATCAGAAGAGACATTCTAAAAAAAATCACAAATAATTAAATAGATAAGTAAAACTGGAATCTGATAACTTAAACAATTTAACATCAAGAAAAATTTAAAGCAGACCCGGAGATGCATTTTCCAGTTAAAGTTATTTCAGCCATTGAAAATCAATGGCCTTTACAGGTTTTATATTTTAATCAGAGGAAAGTGCTTAATCCATAGGGATCACTAAAACGACGATAAGCCAGCGTTAGATAAGTAAAGTTCGGTGGATCAAGAGCGCCTCACCAACAACGGGGCAAAATAATGGAATAATAATGAGAATGAATATAGACATTAGAAGTAGCAAACTGTCACCTAAACACTCCATTAAATATAGCAGTCATCAGAGTAGCCAGTCTCCACCAGTCAGAGTAGCCAGTCTCCACCAGTCAGAGTAGCCAGTCTCCACCAGTCAGAGTAGCCAGTCTCCACCAGTCAGCGTAGCCAGTCTCCACCAGTCAGCGTAGCCAGTCTCCACCAGTCAGCGTAGCCAGTCTGCACCAGTCAGCGTAGCCAGTCTCCACCAGTCAGAGTAGCCAGTCTCCACTTGTCAGGGTAGCCAGTCTCCGCCTGTCAGGGTAGCCAGTCTCCACCAGTCAGAGTAGCCAGTCTCCACAGGTCAGGGTAGACAGTCTCAACCAATCAGAGTAGGCAGTCTCTACCAGTCAGAGAATCCAGTCTCCACCAGTAAAAGTAGCCTGGCTCCACCACTTAGGGTAGCCAGTCTACACCAGTCAGCGTAGCCTGTCTCCACCAGTCAGAGTACCCAGTCTCCACCAGTCAGAGTAGCCAGTCTCCACCAGTCAGCGTAGCCAGTCTCCACCAGTCAGAGTAGCCAGTCTCCGCCAGTCAGCGTAGCCAGTCTCCACCAGTCAGAGTAGCCAGTCTCCACCAGTCAGAGTAGCAAGTCTCCGCCAGTCAGTAGTTATTCTCCACAAGTCAGGGTAGCCAGTCTCAACCAATCAGAGTAGCCAGTCTCAACCAATCAGAGTAGCCAGTCTTTACCAGTCAGAGTAGCCAGTCTCAACCAGTCAGAGTAGCCAGTCTCAACCAGTCAAAGTAGCCTGGCTCCACCAGTCAGGGTAGCCAGTCTCCACCAGTCAGAGAAGCCTGTCTCCACCATTCTGGGTAGCCAGTCTCCACCAGTCAGAGTAGCCATTCTCCACCAGTCAGAGTAGCCAGTCTCCACCAGTCAGAGTAGCAAGTCTCCGCCAGTCAGTAGTTATTCTCCACAAGTCAGGGTAGCCAGTCTCAACCAATCAGAGTAGCCAGTCTCAACCAATCAGAGTAGCCAGTCTTTACCAGTCAGAGTAGCCAGTCTCAACCAGTCAGAGTAGCCAGTCTCAACCAGTCAAAGTAGCCTGGCTCCACCAGTCAGGGTAGCCAGTCTCCACCAGTCAGCGTAGCCAGTCTCCGCCAGTCAGAGAAGCCTGTCTCCACCATTCTGGGTAGCCAGTCTCCACCAGTCAGAGTAGCCATTCTCCACCAGTCAGAGTAGCCAGTCTCCACTAGTCAGGGTAGCCAGTCTCCATCAGTCAGAGAAGGCTGTCTCCGTCAGTTGCACAAATCATTACGCAAGTGTTGAAAATTTGAAGCCGACTGAATAAGGCGATACCGAACAGTAAGGGAAAGTTTGTGAGAAAACAGATAGAAATGTTGCTGAAAAATGTTCCCCAAAACAGGAAAAACTCTCCTTTTTAATCTTTAAAACACTGAAACAGGGATTTTACTATTTTTTCAGTTTTCTTTTATCATTTACATTCTATTTAAAATTCTCTGTAATCCTGTAAGGAGGAATATTTAACTTTGATTTAAAGACAAATTCCATTTGACAAAATAGCAAATTTGTACCCACCCAGACCAAAATTAAAAGCAAATACTTCCTATTAAGATACACCATCAGATAGCATTTGAAGCTGATTAAAGAAATATTCTCTACTTGTCACATGGGAAAGAATTTACTTAATAAAACAGGTAAATTGAAATTTATACAGTTCAAAATGAGTTACATGCTGCATTTTAATAATTATCACAAATAATAAATGTTTGAAGTAGATCAGGCAATTCAAATTCCAATAACTGATCTGATTCCAGCTTTTCCAAGTTTATTAACTATTTCAATAAGACGTCAGATTTGCACCTGTTGGTACTAAATTTATGACTAATAATATTCTGAAGCCACATGAAAGAATCATTCTGTGTTTTAGTTAATGAAAAAAAATAAATATTATTTATTCAAAAAATTTAGCAATTTGGGACTTATTGAGCTAACAGCAGCGGGAGATTGTGTTCAGAAAATTCACACCAGTAGTAAAACTGGAATCATTCTCCACTTATGGCACTGATTCAAGTGATTCTACATTTTACTACATCAGTAAATTTGCGTGCACTTACATAAAACATATTGGGTACTAAACTCTCCCTACGAAGCATCACCCATTAAACATTTTTGCCATTCAGCCAAAATTTCAGACTATTTTAC